TGTCTCACCTGAAAAGGGTACATCTCTGAGAACGGTGGGTCCCCAGCCCCTCCACAGGGACAGAAGTCCATTCTGGGCCACAGCAGAGCGGATACATGTCCGCAGCTCGCTGTAGGACAGCTGACGGGACTGCATCTTGGTCCTGACCAGTTCCAGTGGGCTAATCACCGTCACGGCTCCCACTGCAAAACAGACACAAAGGTTTCACTTAAAGAGCACTGTCAGTACTTTGCTGTGATTTCTGTGTGAGGAGCTTTTGTTTTATTCCATGCACTTACATCTGGCAAGACCCCCAGCAACAAGAGGGACATGACTGCCCTGAAGACCCACACCGAATCTCAGGAAGTCCCGCAACTGGTCGTAGCAGGTGAAGTAAATGACAGTGGCAGGTACTGCCATCACCCTGTTAACATAAACAAACAAAGGTTTCGAACAGAGGAACTGTACACTTTGCAACATATCAATGTAAAGTTCTCATAAAATTATAATAATATGCAAATTTTTTACTAGAATGAGACTGACGTGTCAGGTACTAAAATGCAGCTTTAGCGCAAGGAAATACTTTATTAGACCAAGTTCTGCTATTTATTTTTTGTTTTTTATACTTACTCCAAATACTACACTCTTTCAAAATAAAACTGTACTTACTTAAAGTTTAAGAAATTTAATTCTGAATTTAGGTCTTCTTACACTTCAGTTCTGTGTCTATTCTACGAGTACTGAAACTTTACTAGATGTTACTCACAAAGTTGGTGGTAGCCCGCTCCACAGAGACCGAAGACCTTCATGGCGAGTGATTTTCACAAATGCATCCTGTCGCACAAACAAAAAAGAGAGCTCATATGATGTTAATTGTAAACCAATTGTAGGAAAAACAAAGCCACTAGTGCATGACTACTCACAAGAGTCCCGCTGAACTGAGTCGGCTTTTTGTACCAGCTGGTGCAACTGGTTCTATTCTGACAAACATAGATGTGATCCATCAGCCCATTACAATACAGGAAACACTTCCCTGTGAGGAGGAACATGAGGTGGTCAGAGGAAGAGAAAACCACACTCAGATTATTAGCTATTAAAAAGACAAACAAACAAAAAACAACTATGATTAAAAAACAAAATTAGCACATCTCACAATAGCAATGTGAAGCTACAAGTGTTTCCTAAACTGAGTCACACAAGGCTTCACACAGGAGAGAAATGTCATTAATAATACAGGCAAAAGCAATGACCGCACAGCTGCTCTGTAGATAACACAGTCCTGTCCTTGCCTCTGCCGGTTTATTTAGTGCCGATTACCGAGAAACCTTTCAAATAAAGTCTAAAAGAAGAGGCAGAATTCACATGAATGCATTTACAAGGGGAAACTTTCTGTTTTCACTACCAGAAGACATTTGTTTTTAAAGCAGAAAACCAGGTATGCTAATCTACATCTGATCAAGTGTTAGCAATGGCGGGGCAAATACTTACACTTGGAATGACGTGAGACACCATCCCATGGAGCAGAAAAAGACGCTGAAGCTATGAAAACGAAGGACAGAGCACAAACACAGGAGGACAGGTTTAGTGGGGTTAATGTTAAGAGCAAAGCATCACAGTAAAACATGTTAAAAGCAAACTCAGTAAACCACAAAAGAACAAGAGGTCCTACCTTGGTGGAACGGTGTCTGCTGAGCCTGCAGCCTGATCTTCACAACGTCTAGTGGCGTGACTGCAAACACAAGAATGAATTTAGTTATCACAACCACACAAGAGCTGATAAACAATTAACTGAGTGCCAATGCTAAGACACAGAGAACAACTCCAGCCTTTGTTTCTTTCTCACCAAACAGAGATGTGATGAGGGCTCCAGTGCCAGAGGCCAGCATCTGCTGCACTGGAGAGATCGCAGCCACGGGGCCACTGACGCCTCGCTCGCCCATCCTGCCAACCTGTCAAGACCAAGAGAAACAGCATGTCACACCAAGGTTTCAATCACATTAATATTTAAAACCATAGCTTTAAAAAATGCGCTCCACCCTTAAAAAATTTGTAGTGGTTCAAACATGGTCTTGCACTCAAACTAATTGATCAATTATCAGCAGCAGTTTGAGATTAATTTAATAGTTCTTATTCAATAACCTGTCTAATCCTTGCAGTTCTGGAGTCAAGAATAGTGTAATTATGTTGTAATACCCATCTTGAAAAATAAACTACAACTAAAAGTTTTCAGACAATAAAAACTTGGGTCAAAAAGCTAAAAAAGCAATTTCTAAATGTGAAATTTAAAAGTATAATTACACATGTGTGAGAATGTAAACTGAGATAGCACGAGGTGTATATTAACTAAACTTGACAGAGCTGCCTTACCATTTTACACAACACTATCTCCCTGTTATGTAAAACTGTGAGGAAGGAGTGTCAGTGACTCAAAGGATCAGTAACCAAACACTGAGTTTGCAGCTGGATCAGTATCCGGTTAGATCACAATTCCTAGTGTGTGACTCCTGCTCCTGAGAGCCTTCAAATTACTGTCACTAAAACCCTTTTTAAAAGTCTTTTCAAGTTTCACAGACTTTGCATTCGTCTCCATGCATTACGAAGAGTTAAACTGTCATATAATGCTCAGAATTCACTCTGAGAAGCTTGAATTTGAGGAAATTAAGAAATCTAAACCAGACAAAACTGGAAGCCAGGTTTCTTTTTTTTGGCTTATTTATATGATGATAAAAAGAAACAACTTAAAGGAAGTGGAACATCTGGAGGAGGAAAAGCACTGTTATTGACAGTATTTCAGTTCATTGTTAAGACACAGTTCATCATTTCTATTTGACACAAATTTAAGTGCAAAAAGAACAACTATGTGAGTAGGAAGGGTGAGTCTACAGTAGGTGGAGTTGTTAAAGCATTATGATAACTTATCTATAACACGCATGCCTTGTCTTCTTGCCCACTCCTAAATGATGGAGCATGTTGCAGAAAAAAACCCCAGACAACTTTGTTTAAACAAAATAAAGTTAAAGAAAACATGCACTGCATTGTGAAAACTTCCTTACTGTGTAGTTGACCTCTGCTTCCTTGGCTAACTTTATTATAGTTTAGAGTGACAAGAATAGCCCTCAGCCTTGGTCTTCTCAATAAGCTTCTTTGTCTGGCCAAGTCTCCTTCCACCAAGTGCCCACAACACACATGCAGCTCAACAGCTCCTTCTCCCTTTTTAATCTCTCTTACACAATGCTGCATGGATAATTGTCACGTCTGACGCCAGATAAACATTTCACATGTGCTGACAGAACATGAGAAACTGCAGATTACATGCTTCTCTGCAAACAAAACAAAACAAAACAAAAAAACTGCTGCACAACACAGCGGATGCACGAAGACATCGCGTGCTAGGACATTGTGTTCTTTCCCCCACTTAAGTTAGCGGACTTTGGTTGTAATAGAATTAAACATGTGAAGTCCAGATAGATAAGAGGGGGAATAGCTGCCTTTCAAGGCAGCTGTGAATGCAGTGATCACATTCACTGAAGCAAACCTTTCTGAAATGTGCTGTCAGCCACCTGCGTTTCACTGCACATTATCTGAGTCGCTAGCTAGCTAGCTGTTTACAAGCGACGTTTCTCACCTCTGCTTTAGCTATGAGCGTTGCCGGGAAACACACAGGTGTCTTCACCCATATCAGTTAAGAGCTACACCATTCTGCCGTGCTTCGTCTGATTATTCGGGTGCTCCACCGTGGATAACCCGTAAACATCTTGTTGGAGGCAGCTTACCTCGCCTCAGAGTGCAGGTTACAAGCTATGCACGTCGACTTCATAATCATGGACGCGCAGTCATGGGCGTATCATAACCGCAGGAGGCCTGTGCGCATGATTTGTAGATCCGGACTGATCAGGAATGGACTCGCTTGGCCCCGCCCCCCCGCTGTCGCTACCGTTGCTTTGGCGCCACCTGGAGGACCCATTGCACTTCGCTGACACATGAAAAACAGTTTTTCCGTTAGTCAGGCGTATCCGTATCCTGAACAACGAAGCATCACACTTTACACAAGAAAAAAAAGGGACATCCATTCATCACACTGTAATTAAAGTGCCGCGTTTAAATCCTCCCAGACGTTTACATTGATAAATAAACTGTAGTCAACATGATTTATGAAAGGGTTACAAAATAAAGACATGATCTATTTAGCATGACTTTGCTTTATTCTGTCTCCATTCCAATTAACCCGCTACTTTTTCTTCAGTTACAATATCTTGATAGAAGTGTTATGTTATAAGTTATGTTGTGTGTCTGCTGCCCTCTTGGCCAAATGTCTCTTGAAAAGTAGATAGATAGATAGATAGATAGATAGATAGATAGATAGATAGATAGATAGATAGATAGATAGATAGATAGATAGATAGATAGATAGATAGATA